AGCAGGAAGGAGGAAGGAGGAACAGATATGGAATGACCTTGCTCCCCCAGGCTTGCCCTTCCTTGCACACTGAAGGACACACACCCTCTGGCAATGAAAAAGTATGAGCTCTCAGGACAGAAGGTCTAACGGTTGTGGTGCTGGATTCCCACGTGGTTGACCGAGGTTCAATCCTGGACCCAGCAGCTTAAAACTCATCCCTGACATGTGTGCATGCGTGCCCAAGATCCCAAGAGAACAATGGAGGAGAAGGGATAGCAGCGTGGCCATACCCCCGAGGGATAATTTCTCACTTTCTGTCTCTGTCTCTTTGTCTCTCTGGCTAGCACATGCGCCCTATAACAAAAATCTCTAAAAAAGTACAAGCTCAGGACCAGCAGTTAGCATAATAGCTATGTTGCTGGACTCCCATGTAGTCAGCTGCGGTTCGAGTCCCGGCCCCGCTGGCTTAAACTCACGCCAGGTGCGTGTGTGTGCGTGCCCAGGATCCCAAGAGGAGAATGGAAGAAAAGGGATTGCGGCATGGCCACCCCCCCCACCCACCCGGGGGAGTGATTTTTCACTTTCTGTCTCTGTCTCTGGGGAGCGCACACGCCCTGTAGCAAAAACCTCTCAAAAAAAAAGAAAAAAGTATGAGCTCAGTGTCCCCAGCTGTCAGGGCCTTCCCACGCGTCAGTCCCAGTGCAGAGGACTCCACTGCTTCCTGTCAGTGCTGTCATTCAGCAGTTCACGCCCCGCAAAGCTGAGCGCCCAGTTCTCGTAATTCGGCCAGTCATGCCCAACTTGTGTCTGAGTTTCACCTCGTTCATCTCTTTGCTTTGGGAGGAGACTATTACCCAGCGCACACTTAGAGAAAGGTCATTTTCTTGGGCAGCAGCTAAGAAATTACATTCCTGGGTGCCCCCTTTTCTCCATTCCTTTGCCCAGTGACATTCTAGGAGCGTACAACAATGCCACTGTGTTCCTCGATTTTCTAAACGTCTGAAATAGTCACGCAGAGTCCCCAGAGTCCTTGCCTCTTACGGGAGGTGAACGGGAGCGGGCCTGCCCTGACTGCCTCGCTGTATCGGTGCAAAAGCAACTGCAGTTTTGGACTGTGGATTTCAAATCATTCAAACTAGGCTCAGACATCTTTATTAGTCAAAATAGGAACCATTACAATCAACACATTGTTGCCAACAAGGAGTAAGCAACAACGTAGCTTGGAAATCCCACTTTGGGATTGATGAACTCCTGGAAGGCATCCTCTGCGCAGCAGGTGTGGAAGCGTCTTCCTTGTGAAAGCTTGCTGAGATGCTTGAGGAAGTGCTGGCGAGAGGCCAGGTGATATGGTGGGAACGGCCACGAGGCAGAACCGTGGCCGTGCAGCCTGCAGTCGGGTTGCAGGCGTTGTGGTTTTCTTCGCGTCTCGTGGATTTGCTGAGCACAGCGCTCAGATGTCATGGTCTCACTAGGGTTCAGGACGCTGTAATGGATCAGAGTCCAGAGTGACTGTGCCCAAGCGCTTTGGAGCTGCTGCCTGGCCCACCTTCTGAGCCGGCCATTGCTGGTTGTCATATAAAACCCATTCCATCACACGTCACCATCTGATTGGGAAATGGCTCATTTTTGTTGTGTAGAAGAGATGACACTTCAGAATGACGTTACTGGGAACCAGCAGTCAGCGTAATGGCTATGTCGCTGGACTCCCACGTAGTCGACTGGGGTTTGGCTCCCGCAACCCGGAGCTTACAAACGCTGTGTGCATGCCCAAGATCTGGAGAGGAGAATGGAGGAGAAGGGATTGTGGCGTGACCATCCCCCCTGGGGGGTGATTTCTCACTTTCTGTCTCTATGTCTCTCTCTGTCTGTCTGGCGAGTGCACACGCCCGCCCTATAGCGAAAAAAACTCTCCAAAAAAAAAAAAAAAGAATGACGTTACTTTTGGTTTTCGGTCGGCTTGTGCGGCACCTGCCCGCCGAGCGTTTTCGCCTTTCCGTTCACCTCAGTGCTGAATAACTGCATTATGGGCCGCACTGAGTTCTTTGGCAACTTCTCCAGTTGTCGGAGGATCAGCTTCCAGCTGGCTCTGTCAGCCCCTGTCCACTTCTGCTGGCGACCACTGTGCTCCACATGTTCAAAGCTGTCGTCTCCTTTGCAGACCTGCCTGGACCCCTGCACTGTCCGTCCTCAGTGGTCCGTGACCAAGTGTGCTGTTGAGGAGCGTTCTCTCTGCCACCTTATGGCCCCCCCCTTTTTTTTGAGAGAGAGATTTTTGCTATAGGGCGCGTGCGCTCACCAGACAGAGAGAGACAGAGAGACAGAAAGCGAGAAGGCATCCCTGGGGGGGTGGCCACGCTGCAATCCCTTCTCCATTCTCCTCTCGGGATCTTGGGCACGCACGCACATGCGCCCGGCATGAGTTTTAAGCCACCGGGTCTGGTACTCGAACCACGGTCAACTACATGGGAGTCCAGAGACATAGCCATTACGCTAATTGCTGGTCCCACGGCCCATTTTTGAACTTGTGTAAGAAAATTGCTTGAATTGGCATTTTGTCTAGCACCATTTAAACAGCAAATAATGTCATTAGCCAAAAAGCAAAACAAAAACAAAAACAAAAACAAGGCAAGAACTGTGCATTAAATTGGTTATGACATAACCACAGTTAGGCACGTGTCCGGCATCAGCAGGCTCATCTCAGCAGTGCAGAGCTGCGGTTACCTTCGCACCGACCTGATAGAAAGTGCGTCCCATGCTGGTCAGCGCTGTCCTGTCCCAGTAGGGTCTGCAGCTTTTTTTTTTTTTTTTTGGAGAGATTGTTCACTGCAGGGCGCATGTGCTCACCAGACAGAGACATAGAGACAGAAAGCGAGAAATCACTCCCCCAGGGGGGATGGTCACTCCGCAATCCCTTCTCTATTCTCCTCTCGGGATCTTGGGCACGCAGGCACACGCGCTCAGCATGAGTTTTAAGCCACCAGGTCCAGGACGCGAAGTCCAGCGACATAGCCATTATGCTAACTGCTGGTTCCCAGGTCTGCAGCATTTTTAGGGCGAATCAGATTTGGCAGAGAGCCAAACCCAGAAGCCCACAACCAAGTAAGGAAGTTCATCCTAAACTTCTCCCAGTGCCAACCTCCGTCTTCGTGAGGGCGCTCTAGGGAGACAGGGCCAGCGGGGTACAGGTAGGTCTGTAAGCTCACATCACGGTGGCCCAGAAGTCCGGTGGCAGACCGCCTGCAAGCAGAAGCCCTGGGATGCTGGGGCGCCCTTCTGTCCAAGGCTCCAGGCAGGGAAGCGGATGGTGCACGGCCCTCAGGAACCCAGAGCCTGGAGGGGCTGCTGGTGTGAGTTCTGGAGTCCGAAGACGGCAAGCCCTGAGTACTGAGGCCTGAGGTGGAGGCCCATCCTGCTCTCGGAAGAGACTCGTTATTCTGTATTTACTCTCTGGGAACCCTCCTTTTAAAAACCATGTTTTTAATTGCCGGAGGATGCATGTGCTCACCAGAGAGAAGGGGAGAAAGCCTCCCGCCCCCACCGTGCTGTGGCCGTGCGCCAGCCCTCCTCCCTGTCTCCATCCTTCCAGAATGCGACCTGCGCGCACGCTGCCCAGCATGTTTTGCAAGCTGCCCTGGCGGACTTAACTGCCGTGGGTCGCGGGGGCTCTTGCTCCCTCTACGCTAAGCTCTGGAGCAGCCCTCCCCCTT